TAACAGTAAGGCTGTTTTAGCCACTAGATGGCAAAAAAAATCAGAAGTTGCTGCAGAACAGCTTCTGCATAGACTGTTCCCTGTTACTCCAGATGGAGAGTCAGTCCTTTCTCCATCAGAAATTCATTCTGACAAATCTAATCTTTAAATGTCCAAGGGGGAGTCTTTAACAAACATGCCCAGGAAATTTCTGTCCAACACTATTTCAACAAGACATCTGCAGGTGGCTGCATGTGGGGATGCCCAAAGGGAAGGCTGGGGCTCTGTCTTCAGCTTGAGTGATTTAACAGACTTCCAGATTTGTCATGGAAACACTAGACCTGAGCATTTGAGGAGGGAAGGAAAAAAAAAGGCACAAATCTCATTTTGCTTGAATTATTCTGAACTTTTTTCTAATTTTCTATTTTTTCTAAGTTTTTCTAATTTGGCCACAACGAACAGAAAGTCAATTTCTACCGTAGCACCAAAGGAGCAGCGTTTCAGTTACCAGCCTCGTTAGGAAGGCATGCGCAAAGGAACCCTAACACGAGACGCTTTAAATCGGCAGGATAGATACCAAAGAGCACTGACAGAATTAAAATTCACACATACACCTCTGCTATGGAGGGTACTTCCATTAAACCCTGCATTACTACAGCCGGGGCTCAGGAATGATGTATTTCAGTGCTCTAATCCGCGTGCCCAGCAGCAGTGAGGAGCTGCAGCCAGCTCGTCCCGCGGCCCAGGAGCTGCCGAGGAACCGTGGGGACCCGCGGGGCTGGGTGCCGTTTACTTATCCTCTCTCTCACCTACCTTGACAGATTTGCTACTCCCTCAAGCCCCATAAGGATGAGGGATCTGATTCACCGATTTCAGGAAAGAGTTATTAAAATAAGGAAGGAGAGGGCTTCAGTCTGTTTCAGTCTACTTATGGACTGCGGCCTTGCCCTAATCTGCAAGCAGAGAACTGGCTGGACAAATCTTTCCTGCAAGGAGAGACCGTGCGGGGCAAAGGGTGTTCACAGCCTGGTCTGTTATTATACCAGAAGATAGACCAGGCCTCACAGGGAGCCAGCAAAAAGGAGAAAAGCTGCTCATGTGGCTCCTGATCAGGAAATACCCTGGTAGCTCAGATGCCTGGAAACAAAAACAAAACAAAACCAGCAGCAAACGGCTTTTGTCCTTGGTGTGTACTGAGAATACATTATTCCGCAGTATCCAGTACGGCAATTTTGCTAGTCTTGGCATAAACTGAATCACCAACATCAAGGAAAAAGTCTCTAGGGATAGCAGATCAACACAACGTGCAAAGACTATGTGCAGTTTGCAGGGTCCTGTATTTTTGTGTTGAGCTCTGCCTTTTTAATTTCAGTATTTACATATTTGTGGTTTGAAGTTGCTACCACATTTCCAACACCCATTGGAAATATACATGATAAAAAGCTGGTTTTATTCCATTTGTATAGTTTCTTTTTTTTTTTTCTTTCCCAAAATAGACTAATAGAGCTTTGAGTGGGAAAAAGGCCTGCTTACCTGGTGAGGCAATTTGTCTTTTAAGGTCAAGCTTTTAGACCTGAGCTGGAAAGAATCCTCTTAGTCTCCTTTAACTGTGAAAACTTAAGTTTCCATCAGAATTTCACATCAGACTATTTTTGTGAATACGAAGCAGAAGGAAAAGTGAATGAACCCTCAGAGCATTAAAGGATTATTTGAACATTTTTCAAGTTTCAGTTTGGTCTAACACCCCTCACGAGATTCACCAAAACAAGTTTAATTTGCTATAGCTATTTCCTTCAGAAAAGCTAAAGAGCAAGATCAATAGCTGTCATTTCTGGCTGAAAGTCTGTCCCTTGTATCTGCACATGTATCTAGAGCTGGATTTGGAGGTGGACGGCATGGCAGTCCTCACTGGAGACAAACCCAGCTTTCCCCAGCTCCTGTGTTTCTCCTGTGCCTGGTCAGGCCGTCTTGCTTCTGCGAGAGCGAGTTTTGATTAGGAAACAGATGTCCAGTCTAAAATAGCACAGAGCAATTAGAATCCTTCACGTGTCTCTTAAACCCCTTGGAATGACCCAAGAGATGGAGGATTTCCCTACCCATCTGTAGTCACACATGGCTGGGAATGATACACATCCTCTTCTGGGCTCTCCTGGAAGCCAGGCTTCAGCCGGGAGATTTTGGAGTCTTTATTACTGAGCTTTCCTCCTGGGCTCTCTGCAGAGCCCAAGCCTCTTCCCTGCGGGGAGCAGCACAGACAGAGCCCAGAAGAGGTGATCTGTAAATCCAAAGCACCTCCAAATCACAGCGTAACCCTGGCTCATGTGTCTACAAGTGCCCTCCCAGCCTGCAAACTAGGGGATGGAGCAGGTTAAACTGAAAGTGCCTCCTATGCACAGTGCCCCATTTCACAGCACAGTCTAAGCGAGCTGTGCTTCTCAAAGGCTGGAAGCCCTTTGGAGCAGCAGGATTTGCAAACCGAGGCAGCCTCCCTGAACCATTTGTGCATTTTTTTACAGGCCAGGGATCTGCACCACATGGTGGTGCTACAAAAGCGTGGTAGAGAGGCTGCTCGGCGGCACCGCTGCTGCGGCTTCACGGGTGACCGAGGAGGAAAAATCTGCTTGTGCTGCAGTCAACATAAAGGGTGGAGCTGGTTCCTCTCTACCCTTCAGGCTAGTGCTCCGAAATCCAATTCCACTAATCATCTTTACTTCCCTCAGATGACTTGTATCTGTTGGCAAGGTGCAGGAGCAGAGAAATGTCTGTTAACGTTCGCAGCTCCAGACACCGCGGGATCAAAGAAGCGGGTGCACGTAAAGAGTAGTGTAATTCCTTGCTTCATGGAGCATTTTATTGCATTTCCTAATGCTAACAGATTGATGATATTGTGCCCGTTAGCACGGTCACTTTTTATGACAGGACTAATATGAATTTTATTTCTATGTGGATCTTTGAGGTTCTGAAGAAAAGTTTTTCATCTAGATTCAAAGCCCCTTCTGAGAAGCCTATATAATAAAATTGCATTTGGTTTTCACCCCACAGCACGCTGAAGGCAGCATTTGAGAGTCTTAAGCAACGTAAGTATTTACCTCTTCCTTCCTAACCTGTGTGAAAAAGGCACCCTGTATCCATCCTCTCAGAGTTTTCTTCTTCTCCTTCCCCCCTTTATTTACAACTCCTCTATTCCAGTCTGTGCTGCAGAAAGCAGAGTAAAGGGGGGCACTGAATGGGGCATTGACTCCAGTCTCTGGTGGCAAAGAAAATTGTTCCCTGAAAGCCTTGAGCTGGAACAGTGCTTGTGCTGTTCTCCTTCCCAAAGCGAGCTCCCCAAGCTCTTGCTCTCACTCACCACCTCCCTCCTTCTCTCAAGGGAAGGAATGGAGCACTTTACATCAGTTCCCTATTTAGGTCCCGGAAACATTTGCCTTGGGAGTCCCAACTCCACATGCTCCTCAATTCTGAATGATGAGTTAGTTCCCTTTTCTGGTGCAGAAAGCAGATGCCAATCAGTTGAGCATGACTGCAAACTAATCAAAAAAGCCTAACTGCCTGAGCAGAACATATTTGCAGTCAGTGTCTCCGGCTTGCTGGAGCACCATGGCCAAATTCCCCAGGGCAGCATCCCTTCCTTCCTGTGCCACTGTTCACCCAGCAGGAACTTGGCACTGAGGTCCCCAGGGGATGGTGTTAAACGGAGACAACACCTTATCCTAATGCTCTTGATTATGGACATCACTGAGCACCCCAGAATCCAATCATACCTTGACTATGTACCCACAAATACACCCTCTTATCTTCCCTTGGGAAGACCTGGTCTTTGGCAATTTTTGCTGGTTTCTCAAGTTAGTTTTATCTGGACTGATTCCCAAAAGCTCAGCTCTGCTCCCTCGTCCTGAAAGCAGCTTGCTTTCTAAACAAGCCAGAAGATCCCACCCCATGGTACCCAGCAGGGCAGCGCACCTGGGTGCTAGCACCTGCTGTTTAGATAACAACAACCTTTGGGAAAGCAGCTATTCAGTGAACGTAGTTTTAGAGCCTGGGTAGAGCTCGGTATTTTTGGAAAACGAAGGGTTCCATTTCAGAGGCACCAAAGCAAAAAACACAGAGAAGTTAGCAGGCCCTCGAGACGGTCTTGGCTAGATGTCTGAACCCATCCCAGCCGACCCTTCCGCAGCAGCCTCCTCCAGCAGGGAGGGCCGAGCCGCTCCGCGGCCGTGCCGTGCCCGCGCCATCGCACTGGGAAAAGGGCCTTCCTGCTGGAACGGCTTCCACTCACTGCATGCCAATTCTCACCTGCCTTAGAAACAGAAAGCGTTGGCAACTCTCATATCCAGCTCGCAGTGATGCTGAAGGATGAACTGAAGGGAATAGAGGAGTTCCGAGAACGACAGAAAGAGCAGAGAAAGAAGGTGAGTAACTGCAGAAATGCTGAAACAGGTTGGATTAATGGACAGTCTGATGTCCTGTCTCCAGCCACAGGCTGCAAGTGCTGCAAAAGATGCTAAACATGCCCAGTGCTCCCTGCTCACTCCATACACTTGGGTGTGGAGGAAAATCTCGTTCTGATCACAGCTGGAAATAACATAAAGCCCTGAAATCAGGCGGCAGAGGCTTTAGTCACTTTTACTCTGTCGGGTGTAATTGCAGACACTATTCTTATTCCCGTAAGAACTTAATCCTTCCTTTTCTCTTTTTTATACCCTTGCTAATTGGGTTGCTTTAGTAAGATCCTGCCTGATCTCTCGCATGCACTAAAAGAATGCGGTGACCCAAACATTTGAAAATACAAAACGAACACGATGCTGAATACAGTCCCTGTATATGCTGCTGAACACATTACAAATACTAGGAGTAAGTAGTATGCATCTAGCTGGTGTTGTATAATAAAGATTTGAATATATTTAGGACTGGGCTTCTTCATCCTCTTTGATCCTATCGAGCTCTAAGTCCCTTGAAAATGTAGCTCTTAGCAGAGACAACAGTGGTCACTTTTACCCCTTCTCTGCTTCCATGGGCAGCTGCATCAAATTTCCAGCCATTTTGTAAAAATACAAATTAAAAACAGCATCTAAGCATATACGCCCAATGCAGGAAACATCTCATGTCTACAGCTCTGCCATGCAGGAGCTGGGAAGAGCAGACAACTCTGGGAATGACACGGGTGAGCACAGTTCTCATTCTGACCACGCTGCTGCTGCATTTGAGGGCCACTGCTGTCCCGCGAAGCAATAAGGCACAGGAGGACAGTGCGTCAGCACCAGGAATGCTGTTCATCAGGATTTCTTTCTCCCACCCTCACTTTGTTACCAAGAAATTTGCATGGAGAGCAAATCTCCTCTCTTGAAAACTACAAACTGGTAACTCAAATGGCAGCAGTTAGAGGGGTGTTGAAGAAAGGTAATGAACTGCTTTGGAGCCACAGGACGCAGTGCGAGCTGCTCTGTCACACATGTGGCTCCAAGGGAGTCGTCATGAGAAATGCTGGAAGGTGTCAGCATTTCTGGTGACCTCCCACGACACTGCAGTGTGTGTTGGTGCTCTAAGCTCTCAATACTGTGATATTTAACCTCACATCAAGCAATCCTGCAGAAAGCCCCAGAGAGAGAGTTTTCACTTGAGCAAATTTAAAGTTTAGAGCACCAAAGTCCCACTGAAGAAACCCAGAACCTGCTAAGTAGGAACGGAGGTCGATGCCGCATTAGATGGGCGTCGATGCCACATTAGCCTGGGCACGCCACCATTAAAGCTGTGAGAATTCAGTGCTGTCCTTCCCGCGCTCACCAGATGATGACATTGGAATCAAATCACACAGAGCATAAATTTGCCAGAAGTAAAGCAACAGAAAAGGAATTCCCCAGGAATGGCTCGTGTTTAGGATGGTCACATGGGCGATACGCTGGCTCGTGTATCGCCCGTGGTCGGCCTGGGGTCGGCTCCTGAGCCAGGAGAGGAACCCGCGGGCAGGGCTGATGTGTTCTGCGACTGGGTGTCCTGCTGGTGTCCTGCTGGTTAGTCTGCTTAAGAAGTAAAAAAGGGCAGTGAGAGGAGGAAGAAAATGAGGATCAACATCCTCTCTGCTATTAATGGAAACCATTGAAGCAGAATTACCTTGGATTATTTTTACCTGGCGCATTAATGCTCTGTGTCACTTAGATGCCTGTCAATTATAAAAGCAGTACCCCAGAGGGACATGGCTCTGACAACAACTTTCCTAATGCTGCCGCTAGATCAAGAAAAAAAAAATTCAAAGCAAGAAATAATTACTTGTGTGTGTTTCTTACAGTATGAATCTGCAATGGAGCGCATGCACAAGATCAAGGTGTTGCACTACAAGAAAACGATGGAGGTGAGCAAGAGGTTTAGCACAGGTTGCTCAGATGCAAACTGGTTCCAGTTGGAGACGGGATGAAACCTGCATCACACACACCTATATTTGAAAAGAGATCAAGACTGCATGTGCACGTGTGTGAGGATGTAAGAGTGCGAGCGTGTGAGAGAAGAAAAGGAAAAGTGTGTGAGAGAAGAAAAAGAAACGCGTGTGATTCCTGCTATGAGGAGGAAGCTCCTTTTCCCTGCAACAGCCCTGGGCAGTCTCCCCAAACAAATACCCCCAAAACTTGTGTGGAGGGAACAAGGCCTCCGTTCAAATGGGAATAAGAGCAGATTAGCACCGGGAAATGGCCACAGTCACTGGCACCCTGGGGAAAACGGTCTCCGTTACGATCCCCAGGCTGGAGCACTGAACGTTCCCCCAGACCGCGTAAGAGGCAGCACTCGGGGCACCAGCTTCACTCCCTAACCTCAAACTACCCATTTTATTTCACCCCAATGCAGTCCAAGAAGACCTACGAGCAGAAGTGCAGGGAAGCGGATGAGGCTGAACAAGCCTTTGAGAAGACGAGCGCTTCTGGCAACCAAAAGCAGGCAGAAAAGGTAACTTAGGGGACAGTGATAATTCTAATTAACCCCTTAAAACCACAGTTAAAAACAAGCACCTCCACAAGGAGGTCTCTTCCGTTACATACTTCTCTACCAAGCTTGGCAGTCCTCATCTTGTTCTGTGATAGGCCAAGGATTTTTAAAACGTGGGGGAGGAAAAATTTCTACTCAGAACGAGTGGGGAAGCATTGGAACAGGCTGCCCCGGGAAGTGGTGCGGATGGGGGAGGCGCTGAGGGACCTGGTTCAGGAGGCGGGGGGGGACGGGTGTACGGTTGGGCTTGTTGATCTCGAAGGTCTTTTCCAACCATAATGATTCTGTGATAAGAGTGCATATGAATGATGCATATCATTCAGTTTTGCCACTGGTCGCTTACATTAAGTAGACAGAATCTTACATTAAAATGCATCTTTTTCTCAACATTTCTCTCCTTATGGTTAGCTTAATTTTAACAAAATTTACAAACTCAAAAATAAATCATTGAAAATTAAGGCACTACAGTCCTTCATTGCATCGTCTGATACTTGTAGCTGACAATTCACTAACTTTTAATGGGAACATTTTATAGCGGAACAGATGGAGAAAACAAAATAAATGAACTCCCTTTGGCTCGATAAAATCAGTGCAGTGTAAGCAGAAAGGATCAAAAATCATCTCAAGGAGCAGGGAGATGGAGATGCTAAAAACAGCACCGAAGTTAATACTTCATATCCAGCATGCCCAAATCCTTGACAAACCAACCCCCCACCTTAGTTACAAAGGGAGGATGAAAGCCTGACCCTGCTGAAATTACACCAGGCCTCGTAGCAGCTTGAATGGCATCAAAGTGTGACCCGGCTCCTTGCCTGCAGAAGGATCCCAGGGTGTTGCATTGCTGTCACTTCCATGCACGTGCCAACGCATTTGAAATGCATGGAGGCACCTCACAAGAAACGTATCCGCTGTTTAATTCTGCACAGCGCTCGCAAACCGTTTGGGTCAGGATGAGAATGAGAATGAAGCTTCTGTTCCCAGCTTGCTCCACGTTTTCCATCCAGCTGTGCAGAGGAATACGCTCATGAGAACCCCTACCTGAGCACTGTCTTGAAGGGCAGGGTAGAAGGATGTGTTACCCTGCTGTCTAGAGCCATGCATTAATGTACTGCCATCACCATCTGTGCAGAATGACCTAGGAATGCAGAGCTGTCAATAACAGCTAAATTTTCATTTGCTAAAAGCTGCCGATTTTTTAAGAAGCTCTGCTTGGAGTGAATTTTGCTTTCAGGCTTCTGAGTTCTGGGGAAAAGTCTGGCATTTGCAAAATATTTTAAAGGTTCACTGTGTGTATTATATGAGAAGCACAGGAGACAAAGAATTTTAACTGCCATTTATATCTGCCTGTAGCTACTTATTCGAAAAGCACATTGAAACCTTTAGGAAAAGAAAACCAGCTCGGCCAGCAGACACAAAGCTCAGGGGGGGTGATACCAGCCCTGCACAGAAGGAGCTCCTGTGCGAGCGGTCGAGGTGGCAGGAGGGCACAAGAGGTGCTGGGCTCCCCTTGGGCCAGCAGACCCGTGGCCACATCTATGAAATCCCGGTTGCCCCTTCTCAACAGCCCCCGTTCTCTAGAAGGTGCATGGGGTGGGACAGCCGAGAAGCGCTTGCCAGCTTGGACCTTTCCCCAGGAGTTGGGAACTTGGTCAGAAGCAAAAGCACGGTCAGAAACTAATTTGGGTTGTTTCTTTTCCTGTTTCAGAGTCAGAACAAAGCCAAGCAATGCAGAGATGCAGCACACGAAGCAGGTGACTCTATGATTTTTCTCAACCAAGATTACCAGCACATGGGTTTGACACAGTATCACACAAAGCATCCAGGGTGGCCCTGTTTGAGGTCAGGTTTCACAAAGTCACCCATCCAAATACTAATAAAGAAGCTTCTAAAGAACATGGTCAACCTGTTAGTAACCCACCTTTACTTTCCTTGAGGCACGTTGTATGTTCTCACTACAGAATTAATAGGAGACCCCTGTTATGGACTTAGGAAAGTAAAACTCTTCTTAAAGCACGTTTGCGAGCCCCGAGAAGGACGCTGAGGCTGCTCCAAGCCAGCCCAGAGCAGACGCCGGGCCCCGGCCTGGCCGCGCGCGCGGGGAGCCGCAGCTGCGCTCCCACCAGCAGCACCGGGCCCAAGGGCGAGCAGCGAACGGCCGGCCCTGCTCGCGGGGTCACCCGCGTCCCCCTGCTCAGGTACGAGATCGCACGGACTTGTCCAGCAGGAAAAGGGCCTAGGGAGTCCTTAGCATGGCCCAGGCTCTTCCCTCCCCGTTGTAAAGTTTACAGCTGATCTGCAAACCGTGCAGCGAGATCCCTCACTATAAAAAAAGCTGCAAATAAGAGAGTCGAACATCCTCGCTCCCCATTAGCTTCAAGCTCACGTACTCTTGTGGAGCCTGGGGTTTGCCGGAGCAAAAGCCACAGCAAATGCCTAGTAGGAGAGAAAGGAGAAAGACTGCATCATTTTTTGCCTAACTGTTGGGTGTCTGTTCTGTGTGTTTACAGAGAAGGTGTACAAACAGAACATAGAGCAGCTGGATAAGGTCAGGACAGACTGGGAACAGGAACACATCAAAACCTGCGAGGTAAACATTGACTTTTGCTGCAATATATTTGTGAGCTCTTTATCTTATCCTACTTATATAGATCAGTCTAAGACCTGAGATATTGTCCTAAGGGCTTTGCCGTTTGCTTTATAGTCTCAGTAGATGCCTTTTGCAAAAAGGCTGCAAGAACTAGAGTGGATTTAGACACAGCTCCAGGCATCTCACTTACTTGCACTCTCCTTGCCTGCTCAGCAGTTGTATGTACATACAAAGGAGGGGACTTAAACGCAGGGGTGTTGGGAGTGATATATGAAGCGGTTCAATCTATTTGCAAGCGTTTGTTGCCAGTTTTCACCCACAACATAACACATGAACATGTTAGCTTCCCAGCAGATCTGCCCTAACAGCCAGGATGAGCTTGTTTCTAAAGTAACTGCTTTGTGATAAAATGTTATTTGAGCAGAAACAGAAATGTAGACATGAAAATTCATTTTTAGTTCCAAATATTTTTTAATTGAAACAAGAAGAAAATGATTAAATGAGGGGAAAAAAATCCCTTTAGATTACGTCTTATGAAATGTTTTCAGATGGGCTTCTCATTCCAGTGCAGGACTTTTTTCTGTGTGTGCTTAATTTTTTCAATTTCAAGCTCAATGGAGATTTTTTTTTTCTTGTTAAGCTCTATGTTGTATTATAGCTCTCTGAGAGCAAAGATAACCAAGTTACACTGAATCTTTGTGCAGTCTACAGCATGATTGTGCAGAGGACTTTGTGATTTCTGCCATGGAGTACTCTTTCTATGAAACCTGAGAGAGGTGTGGAGGGAGAAAGGAGTCAATGTTTCCATTATGCTCAGCATGGACTAAGATTTGCCCTTGTCCAATACTGGTTGATATTGAAATCAACCATACATTGGTCATATTGGTCCTTCTAATTTCCATCTGCCAAATCTGATTTTGCTATTCTTACTTGTCTCAGGTTTTATTTCCACATGAAATGAAGTGCCAGGAGCAAAGCTTTCCAGTTCTCCGCTGTCTTTTAGATCTTCCCTATCTGCAAGCACTGGAAAATCCCATGGCTAGCACAAACACTCCATGGAAATTGTGCCAGGCCTGAATTTCTCGTAGAAATGTGTGTTCTTCCTCTTCTTAGGAAGCCACAAGCAAAGCAAAATATTCTTAATCTAGAACATTGTTTCTCCCACATGGCTGAACTCCAAACACTATACAGACCTTGTGAGCTGCCCACGGCTTAATTCAAACTACCATTCATAACAGTGGCATTTTTAATTCCTTTTACAAATATTTGTAAGTAAAAGAGCCAATAGACATTTTAAACTATTACCTAGTATAAAAAACATCTTAAGCTCCCAAACTCCTGGTTACACAGCGGGGAACTGGGAGGTCTCTGGGGCCTGCAGCAGAGCGCGGGCACCCGCGGCCCAAGGTCCTGGGCTGCAGGCGCTGGGACAAGCTCCGTCGCGGGGCCTCCTTGGCACGGGCAGCCCCGCTCTGCAAGGGAGCCTGGGGGCAGGAGGGACCTGTCCAACACAAAACCCACCTCCAATCTGCCAAGGGCTTGGCAAGCCCTAAGTCACTCTGCTTCCCTCTTTGATGGGCTGCGTTTCCCGGCAGGACACTATTTATCTGGAATATTCCCAGGCAGCTCGAGCTCTAATTCAGCAGGCATTGAAGGCTCAGCTTTAGAAAAAAGCTTTTAGCTCTGAATGGACATTGAGATCCTCCTCCTCCTCCCTGCAGCTTCCTGCAACACCAGTTGACTCTCTCTTGGCCCTATCTCTCAACTCTTTTTTTTTTTTTTTTTTTTTAAAAAAAAGACTGTAAGATATTAGATGGGGTGCAGTGTGCACGACAATGTTTTGTTGAATAGTGTATACATTTGTGATATTCTGGACATAATTACCAGCAAATGGAGATGGAAACAGATGGCTGGAAGCAACTGAGCTTTTCACACCTTATATAAAGCTGAAAATTCATGTTCTACTTCTAACAGTACCACTTGGAGATCAGCTTTCCCCCTCCGCCCCTTTTAAGTTTTTAAAATAAAGTTATCTGCCTCTTCCTCCATCTCAGTTCACAGTCCTCCTTTCTTTTTTTCTCTTCATTCTCTCAAGCCTAGTTAGCTTTATAACAACATGGCAAATTCAGGCAGATGGGGAGAGGAATCAATTCTGAAGGGTGGGTGCCTTTTCCTTACCATTAAAATAACCTCTGAAATGAACAAAGGCAACCATGGAGAACCCCAAATAGCCTCCAGATTATTCTAAAAGCTTAGAAACACATTTCAGAAGGCAGAGCTGGGTATTTTTGGCTCTACCTCTAATGTAAATACACTCTTTATCACAGCACTCTTTTGACTTCTTTAACATCAAGATTTCAGTACAATGGGTAAACAGGACCCTTGTTCTGAAATCCATGACTGTAAGGAGCATTCAGATCTACACACTGATTACATTTCCCTGCTTTATTGTTGCCTGTATACCCTAACTTCAGTTTGCAATGACTTAAGAAAACATTCCTGAGCCTGAGCAAGTAGTAGTAGTTTCCCCAGTAGCTAAAAAGTTGAAGCATTTCTGAAGATCCCTGAGAACACTTGGCAGGAGAACTGGGTGCGGAGGCGTCGCAGCCCCATCTCTGCCTGTGAACGCACCGGCAGCTGCCCCAGCGCTCCCTCTCCTCTCCTCTCTGGCTCTAGGTCTTTCAGCTCCAGGAGTGCGACCGCATCACGATCCTCCGCAACTCGCTGTGGGTTCACTGCAACCAGCTCTCTACTCAGTGCGTGAAGGACGATGAGGTAGGGACAAGCGTCAAGGGCTTGGGGTGCGGAGGACGCCCTTCGCAGCAAAGGATGGGCCTGCAAACCAGCTTCTCTGCTGCTGCAGCCTGTTCTGTGAGGGGAGAGCCTGCTGAATCGAGCTGGTTCCCTTTCCCCGGGTGTAAAGCAGACACATGCTTCCAAAATGAGAAGACAGAATACATCACGCTATGCTGGCATTTTACGTTTTTTTTTCCAAAATTTGAGTCCCATTGGAAAGTCGTGGCTCACATCATAAAAATGCATGTCTTATTCCCCATTTGAGTATGTCTAAGTTTTGAGTTTCACAGTGGTTGGTTCCTACTATCAAGTTTCTTTAGTACATTGAAAAGTGCAGTAAAGTGCCTCTTTCCTCCTCTCATATAAGGACGTACAGAACACCAGTAAACAATTGTGCTGCATGAAAAGAGGAGACATGCCCAAGACATTCCAAAGATCCATCCAGATCAGTCACATCAAGTGGAAAATATCTTTAAGGGGAAAAGTATTAGAATTAATTAATTCAATGCAATTTGTTGGAGCTGAGTTCTTGATCTCTGTTTTGCAGCTGTATGAAGAGGTTCGGGTAAGCCTGGAGAACTGTGTTATAGAGTCAGACATAGACTACTTCATCAAGACCAAGATGACAGGAACGCAACCTCCAGGTAATCCTCCCACGGCGCCTGTCGGACGCGTCCCCCGTGGGGCTGCTGTGCGTGTTCCCTGGGGAAGGGAGCCCAGCGCAGGGGCTCCTGCTCCGCCTCTGCTCGGGCTCCTCGCTCCCACCGCTGCAGCTCGCTCCTCGCTGTGCTGCGCTGTCACCGGGACTGCCGAGTGATGCGAGGTAAAAATAACGCTCCAAAAAAGAAGAATTTATTTCGGTTTTCAGACCGGGCTCATTGCAAAGTACAGCTGAACTGGCACAGTGAGGGAGGTGGCAAACTGCCTGGCAGACATGGCAGCCTCCGTTCCCCACACTGGTGACAAGGCAGAGCCAGCTTATCAAGTAACTGCACCCTGCTGTCCCCTGGGCAGAGGTGCTGCCTCTTTCTTTGTAGCACAGAGCAGACCCTGTACTCTGTTTTGTTCCACCTGTCCAACATCTTCCCACCTCTCGGGAAGTTGTTCTAGAAGGGCAAGTCTCTGGTTGGGGGAAATTTTGTGTGAAATTGGCTTTGCTGCAGAATGCACAGGTGACATAAGGCTCAGAGGTCTCTGTCCATTCAAGCCAAAGGAGCCTTTTCATTGACCCAAAACACGTGTGCTGAAATGAGGCCTGGGAAAGCGAGAGCTAACAGCCATCATAAACGGAAACCACGCTGCTCCGGGCGGACATCTCCGAGCCCGGCACAGAAACGAGGCCGCCCGACGCTCCCACACCCCAGACACACGTCGCACCGCGCAACGTCCCCGCTGCAAAAGCCATTACGGACTAAACGCAACACCCACCCTGCCCTGCAGCAACGCGGAGATTTACCGCCGCTGGGAGAGGACACGAAGCTTCTATTTCATCTTGTCATTAGCTGGGGCCGTACGCACGCATGCGGCTATTCTGCAAGTGTCATTTATTTGTGCACAGATGCTCTTGCACTTCATCTATCTGCTGTAGCGCATCCCCTTCATGGGGACTCACCGGTGTCCCCTGGACTTGCTTCCATTCAGAACAGGCACGAGGCTATGAGGGGATAGGGACATTTGATACCAACGCTGCCTTTCCACCATTACACCTGTGGCAATTAAGAGTAGAGTTTCCTGGATTAAAAACAAAATATGTATTTTCATATAGATACATCTCAATATATTTATATTGGTATACTGGACGTCATTTTTTGGTAATAGTTTATTTTCCTTCCAATATGGGGTTTAAACTCCACTAATATAGGAGCATTTAGTGAGATAAAACTACATTTTCACTGGCAGAAGGAAGAACTGTGCCTCGCAACAGTGTGAAGCAACTTCTGCATAGAAGAAAGCTCTAATTCTCAGCTAGGGCTCTTTTTTTGTGTGAGATTTCTCATTCTCCAGTCGCCTAGGCAATTTTCTGAGACAGTTCTTGGCTATGTCAAGACTCATTTCTAATTAAAAAACAGCAGGGAAAAAAAAAAAAACCTCAAGAGTTTTGTAAGAAGTGAAGGAACGACTGACTCTTGGGTTTTTTGCCACCTGCCAGAAGGTGACATGCTTTGGAAGTATCATAGTATCTCCAGAGATAATGGGTTTGCAGAACAGCTCCCAAGTGGCTTTGTGTTGTGCAACCCCCATACTGACAAGAGCTTTTGCTTTCCTCAGGCAGAGCTGTGCAGCTCCTCTCCTTTTCTACCTAAGCCTAACATATATTGAGACTAGAAGTGATGCCAGATGACAATCTAGAAGGCTAATGGAAGACGACCCTTAAATTGGTCGGAAAGCTCCTTGGTTTCTGTGAGTTACGGGTAGCAATCGCTCCACGCTCCTGCCCACCTACAGATCTGCTTATGAACTTGTTGGGCCCAACGTGGGACTGTTAACACAGCCCTAAACTCAGGTTCCTGTTCCTTAATTAGGACGTGGCAGAACAGAGCTAACCTGGGCCCACAGCTTCGGAATCACACTTGGCTTCTGTTCGTTTGGCTTCAACACGGAGAAGGCGGAAGGGGTCTGTGGCCACCTGCCCTAAGCAAGCCTGCTGTTAAGCTAGACTTTGGAAAGGGTCTCAATTTTGGCCTTACCACCACCCGAGGGGAGAGGAATTGTGCTGTAACACAACTGTTTGAGAGAACAACAACCACCACCACCAAGTAGCCGGGGGTAAACAGCAAATCAGCTCTCGAGGGGTGAGCGGGGAAGAGAGGAAGTCAGGAAATTGATCATTATACCTGCAGGCAATAAGTATAGAAAGTTCCGCAGCTCTGACAAAAATTTCCAATTTAATACATTAAAAAAAAAAAAAACTGAACAACTAAAATATTATATGGAGCACTCCCAAACCACTGCAGCCAACTGAGTCAAGGACATGGTCCCATGCTCGCAAGAACCCTGCTCTGCTCCTGAGGGGGATAGACAAGGAAGGAAATGGCCCTCTAGCCTCATTTAGCTATTGCAATGGTCCGCCAGGAGATTGCTCCACCAGCCCCTGAACGGCTACACTGCCAGCTGCATCCTGCTGGAGAGAGGTTTTGCCTGAACATCTCATTTTTATTGCTCTCTTGCAGATGCAATAGGATACGAGAACTATTACGACAAAGAACCAAGCAGAGCCAACAGCAGCCCGACACAGACTTGTGGGATGATGAAAAGGTGGGTGCTTGGCTCCCAGAACAGAAGGAATCTGGAACATTACTGCTTCCTTAGTAGCCAAGAGTAATTTTGCCATGGCCTAGTGGGAAGAGAGACAGGGGACAAGGCCAGTAAATGGGTGGCCATCGATGGAGCGCTCGTTCCCTCTTCCCTGCGAGTCCCGGCACGCCGCAGTGAAACGCTTGGTGCCACAGAGGCCAGAGGGGATTCTCGGTGCGGGCTGCCCGCGCTGCTGAGCGGGGACGGCGGCTTCGCCGGCCGGACCGGGGGAACAGCGCCGAGCGCAGAACTGCGCTGGTTATGGAGCCAAAAAATAGGCATTTTTAACAACTCTGTAGGCTGGTAAATGCTTAGTGACATGAACACGGTTTTATCAGCCATAGAGCCTGGCTGCAGTGTTTTATACTAAAATGTCTAATTCACAGTGGCTTTTTAAAGCGGAGGATCTTTATATTTTGACAGGCCTTGTTAGATGGCAAAGTCAAGGAGGGGGTTGTGGTCTCCCATTGAAAACATACGTGCTACAGGCTGACTAGCGAACTGAAAAGGTTGATACATAATATTTTGTTTTTCAGTCAGAAATTAGATTTTCTGCAATAACGAGTTCTGCTGCTGCATGCGGCACAATTACAGAAGTCAATTGCACTGCGATTCAGAATACAGCCGTGCTCTGCAAGGGCAAACAGCCTAGAGAGACTCGTTCAGAGCATTTCAGAAACTGCTGAGCTTGGATATCCACTTTGCAGAACACTGAGCCCTCACCAGCTGAAAAAACCCAACAAAGTAAAATCTTTTAGCATTGTCCTAAGCAGGCAATACTATTGCTGTGTACATCCAATAATCCTGACCTATATTCTCTCACTGCTTGGTCTGCAGTATTGAGCTGTGACATAGGAAACATCCAAGGATAATTTAAAAACAAAACAAAAAAAACAGTTTTTAGAAAGGTACGTTATAGCTTTTGTGTTTTAAGTTGTATCAGTTCTTCTTAAGGATAAAGGAAGGCTAATCATATAAATGGTAGATAATTAACTGATATTCAATTTACTTATCAATTATTTATTAACGAGATACTCTTCAATCATCTAATGATGCTTAATTTGATTATTACATGATGCATTTTGTGCAGTTGAGCAATGGCTGAAGGTTCAGCA